TACCCCAAGGGAATGTTGCCAGCTCTCCAGATGTGGAGTTTCAGTGAGATGCCCAGCATTGGGAGACTGTCCCTGGCACTGCCCCCACTGTGGAGGGGGCTGTTGGCAAGGGCTGGGGGCTGTTGGCAGGGGCTATGCAGCCCATTGACTCCCAAGTACTGGCCGGAAGTAGTTTGGCAGAAGAAAGTGGAGGGGGAAGAATGGAGCTATCTGGTGTAATTAAGAGCTTGTGTCCCTCAGAACAAACAGTCCCAGCTTACACAATAATAGCATTAGGATTTTCCCCAGGTTGCCATGGTGCTGACTGGAGACAGTTATGAAATGAAAATACTGTGTGTGACTGAGCAGAATTATTTCTTTTTTTTGCCCCCCCCCCCCCCTCTTCTTTCCCATTTTCCCCTAAGGGAGTGGTTGGCACAGCTTCTTTGAAATCTTTGTGCTTCCCATCCCCCTGGCTTTCCCCCCAGGATATGAAGGAGATAACATTGCCCGGGCAGAGTTCACTGCTGTTCCCACTGTGCTTTGACCTGGAGGGCAGTGCACAGGCAGGACGGGTGGGCAAGGGGGCCAAGTTGGCCATACTTCTCCTCCATATGAGACTCCACTGACATGGGATTTACTTTCCAGCCTTCTCCAGTACATGCAAGATAGATAAGAGTATTTCACAGCTCCCTTTAGTTTCCACAGCTTGAAGATATCTCATGCTTTGCCCTCTCCCAGCTTGCCTAGCCATCTCTGCAAGGAGGCTGGGTTCTCTGCTCAACCCCCTGCTTGTTGCGACATGGGAAACGTCCTCACTGCTGCTCAGTTCACTTGGGCTTGGCCAGCAGCCCAGATCCTTGTGTTTCCCAGAGTGGCTGAGGAGTTGCATTCCCCTGTTTTTTTGCTTGGTTTGTTTTGGGGTCGTTTGCTTCCCCCATTTGGAACAAAATCGGCTAAGCAGGGATTTAGCCTGTTGTAGGCCTGTTCTCTATAATCTCTTCACCTCTGTAATATTGGAGGGTGGCAGGGAACACATCCTCCTGATGACCAGGGATCTTGAATCACTGTGACTCATTTCTCTTTCTCTGCTCCAGATCTCCCTGAGTGGAATTTTGATGGCTCCAGCACCTTTCAGTCTGAAGGCTCCAACAGTGACATGTACCTGCGACCTGCTGCCATGTTTCGGGACCCTTTTCGCAAGGATCCAAATAAACTAGTTCTCTGTGAGGTCTTCAAGTACAACCGTCAGTCTGCAGGTGAATGGACCTTCTCTCTTCTCCTGGTGGAGGTGGTGTTCCTGGCGGGGGAAGGGGAGACCTATCCAAATGCTGTTCATACTCTTAACATCATGCATGGCACAAAAAAAAACTTTGCCTGAAAGTTAAAATGCAAACCAAGTGCTGGTGGTGGAGAAAGGGCTGATCCTGGGATTCTTCATCAATGCTGCTGGGACTAACACTGTAAATAGAATGGAAATGGGGAATGAAGGTGGGGATACTAATAACCCTTGTGTTGCTTTTGTCTTCTAGAGTCAAATCTCCGATACACTTGCAGGCGGATTATGGATATGGTGTCCAACCAGCACCCCTGGTTTGGGATGGAGCAAGAGTATACTCTTCTGGGAACAGATGGACATCCATTTGGCTGGCCTTCCAACGGCTTCCCTGGACCCCAAGGTAAACTTTTGGGAGTCTGCGCTGGACCAACTTAAGAGGCGTTTGAACTGTAATCCGTGTGATGCAGTTTAAGTGCGTCAGGTGAGCTGAAAGATTCAAAGTGTTTCTAGAAGTGAAGGTGGACAATAGCAAGGAGGATATTGCCAAAAACTAACCCATGGGATTAATATCATTACAGAAAGGCTAAGATGGTGATTGGATACATCCAAATTTGCTGCTTGGTGTGTTAGTTTGCAGGTGATTTAGGCTTATGCACAGCATGACAGATTACAAGCCCAGACTATCCGAGGAACTTGCTCTCCATCCGTGCTCTGCTCGTGCTTCCATGCAAAATGTATTTTGGTTTTTTTTCCACACATCTAAGCTTTTGGAGAGTTCTCCCTGTGTATGCTCTGTCCTCACTGAGTCTGACCTTTTTCTTTCTGGAAACTCATGTTCCTGTTGTTCACTTGTGCCATTGCAGGTCCATACTACTGTGGTGTAGGGGCAGACAAAGCCTATGGGAGAGACATTGTGGAGGCCCACTACCGAGCGTGCCTTTATGCTGGCGTGAAAATTGGAGGAACCAATGCAGAAGTGATGCCAGCCCAGGTAAATTGTTTTACACATTCCTCTTGGAATGAAGTACTATGGAAGAAACCCAGGCAGCAGGAGCTTTTTGGCTCTGAGCCATGGAGTTTTGTCAATGGCCAGAGCATAAGGGGGTGGGACGTGCCTCACAGCAAATGCCTCTGCACCACTGAGCCAGTGACTCCTCCTCCTTGTAGTGGGAGTTCCAGGTGGGACCATGTGAAGGGATTGAGATGGGGGACCACCTCTGGATTGCACGCTTCATCCTCCATCGGGTGTGCGAAGACTTCGGTGTTATTGTGTCCTTCGATCCCAAACCCATCCCTGGGAACTGGAACGGTGCTGGCTGTCACACCAACTTCAGCACCAAGAACATGAGGGAAGATGGAGGTCTCAAGTAAGTGTTGAGAATAGCATCGTGAAGTTCTTGAGTAGCATCTGTTTACTAGGCTGAACGTGGTTGGTAGCAGCAAACTTTTTGCAGAGCTTTTGACAATGTGAGAGATGTCACTTTGGTGCTTGGTGTTATGTTTGAGCCTTTCTTCTGGCTATATACCTTTTTTAATTTTATTTTGTTTAATGATATATTCCATCTTGGTGCTGGGTGGAAAGTTCAGCCAGCAATACAGGTTCATCAGAGTCGATTGCAGCATAGGTGGCTAAGATGTTGCTATTCATAACAGGCTGTCCAGCCCTTGAGCCATTGCTGTAAACAAACGAACTCAGCATAGACCTGGTTTTTATATAACCATGATGAAAGAGAGAGACCATTTGCTTTTGTCTGGGCCAGGCTCTGGAAGCTAACACCATGTTTGCTTAAACAACAAGATTCTGGAAATGTAAAATCCCTTTTTTTTTTTTTTTTTTTTAATTCCCTTATGGGACTGATGTGCTGAGTGCCCCAGGGACTTTACAGCACTGGCTTGCGGTGGAGCTCTCTGAGGGGATTCCTTCTGGCAGCTGTGTTTTCGTGCCTTAATCTTGGTGATGTCCTGAGATAAGAGCCAAGTTGTGATTGTGTGAGCTTCCTGAATAGAAACTTGTTTGTTCAGAAATCTCCCCTCTGAGAGCAGGCTCCCCAGGGCACTGTGTCTGTGGAATTTGGCGGTGGGTCATACTGATGGGATCCCACACACAGCACTCCCGAGGAACCTTCTCGGGCCATGAGTGTCCTTTTCAAAAAGCCAGCCTGGGTCAGCAGTCAGAGGGAAGAGAAGCCCTGCGTTGAGATGATCAGAAAAGATGAGGTGTAGGGCATAAGGCTTCAACATGAAGTATCTTGGGGACAGTGACCAGTCTGCTGTGGCTTGGATGCAACAGTCCAGAGTGACTCAGCCGGTACTATCCGTCAGACGCTCAGTGTGTCTTCCCCTCTTCCTGACTCCCTTCACAGGCACATTGAAGAGGCCATTGAGAAGCTGAGCAAGCGTCACCAGTACCACATCCGTGCCTACGACCCCAAAGGGGGGCTGGACAATGCCAGGCGCCTGACGGGTTTCCACGAGACATCCAACATCCACGAGTTTTCCGCTGGCGTGGCCAACCGTGGCGCCAGCATCCGCATCCCCAGGAACGTGGGCCACGAGAAGAAGGGCTACTTCGAGGACCGCCGGCCCTCCGCCAACTGTGATCCTTATGCTGTGACAGAGGCCCTCGTCCGCACGTGTCTCCTCAACGAAACCGGAGATGAGCCTTTTGAGTACAAGAACTAAGCAGACTGCGCCCACAGACACCGCCTTCCCCTCGCGCTTCCTGCACCCCTAAACTTCCCTTCTAGATGTAATCCTGAGGGTACAAGATAACATGTTTCGTGTCTCAGTAACTCTTGTTGTCTTGAGGTGGGGAGGAGGGCAAATTTAGTTTTATCGATGTCTGTTTTTCATTGACTCTTCAGAAGATGAGAGGAGGAGAGGGTGTTAGAGAACTTTTAACCACTGTTTTATTTTTTGTCTAATTTCATGTGTACATCTGATGGGATCCAGTGGCTTCCAGGGACAGACTGCACAGACACAAAGTCAGTAGACGAGTGGAAAGTTTAAAACGACAGCTGACTTCCCCAAGAGTCAAATTTGGGGTGTTGGCCCCACTGCTGGCTCTCTGCAGACTCATGGTTCTCTAAGATTGGTGCCCTTCTGGAAGAAGGGAAGATGGGAGCCGTGATGGAGCCCTGCGTGCTCCTGCCTGTGTGGTGTGATGGGGAGATCATCATCCTCAGGCACTCTGAGGTTTCTGGGAATCTTGTTGTGTTTTGCTCAGCATAGGAGCATTTGAGGAGAGCTCCTGGTTCTGTCACTGGAAGTCAACTGGTCTCTGGTTCATAACACAGAGTGAAGTAGTATTTTTCTATTTAAATATAAAAAGCCAACAAATTGTATATGAAAGTGTTTTTTGTTTTTTTAAAAAAACAAAGAGGACGTTCCAATGAGTCAGCTGGCTAGAGCAGGCAGAGCTCCTGAGGATGCTGTCAGAGAGCCTCCAGGTGGGGCTGAGGGTGAGCATGGGGGGCTCGCTGGAGGAGACTGGGATGAAGCTTGCTTCAGCGAGGAGCAGAGTCAGCAGGAGGCGGTTCCAGAGCAGGGAAGCCTGCAGGAGTGTTTATCCCTGTAACTTCAGCAGCCGCCGTGCGCTCGTGGGCCTGGAGATAACGGGAGGAAAGTGTCCCAAACTAAGAGTTGACTGGTCAACTTAACTGTGGTCTGGACAGAGCTGTGGGTGTTTCACCTTTCCAGCGGGGCTTTTGATATAGAAAAAAGGTTCTAGATTTTTTTTTTTTCATAATGTTCTTAGTTCCTAAAATTGAACGGTTTTGCAGGCTGTTGATGTCACTGTTGTGTCCTGGCTCTTGGGCTGCCTGCCACCCAACTGTGGTGGGGGCTAGGAGAAGGGAGAGGCCACTCATCCCTCCCGGCCAGCCCTGGCACCTCCCAGCTCATGCTGGTGGGGTTCAAACGTTCCGGGATTTTACACTTTGGTATCATAGAAGGTGCCAGTTATATTTCGCTGCATTTGGACTTCTTCCAAATAGTGGTTTTTTTTAATATAATAAAAAAAAAAGAGAGAAAAAAAAAAACCCTTAATTTTTACTTCTGCTTCCTTTCTGTGATTCATCCTGGCAGCTTCTTTTGTATGTGTGTTGCCTTCATCATTTGAAGGGGATTTGACCCTGATAATGGGTAGGCTTTCGCCTTTTGCTTGTGGGGTAGGTTTTTTGGGGGCAGGAGTCTTGCTATCCATGTGTGCTCTCTAGAAATTGGGGTTTTGTAGGTGGCTGTCGATTCTCTGATGAGTGACAGTCCAGCTGTGACTGGAGTGGGATTCTGCTGATACAGGAAAGGGACTGAGCTTGTGAGTGTCCATAGGGAGGGTTATGGGGTAAGTACAGGTGTTTGTACATCTCCCCAGCCTTCTCCACACAAGTTCTACAGGGTGTAGAAATCCCACCAAATAACATTCCAGCCAACTTCATGAATAAAGGGGCTTTGTGGAAGAGGACCCTTTCCCACTCTCTCTGTGGAGAAAATGCTTCTCATCCACCTTTGGTATAAAACCAGGCATTTAGAAAAAGAAGCAAGGTAGTAGAAATGTGTCATATTGCTCCCGCCTTTATGTAGCTTGTGATGCCATTTCCCAGCTCCATGAGAGGTACTTTGTTCAGGCATGGATGCTTTAACCATTCCCATCTTTAAACCTTCATTAACCATTTTTGTGGACCAAGTGGTTTTTTTGCATCCCCCTTCTGGGGAATGTTCAAGGCAGTACCTTATCTGTCTGCGAGGTGGAGTGTCACTGGAGCAGAAGCGAAGCAGGCACAATGTCCTTTCCTCTGATTGTGATGTGACCACAAGGACTATGGCCTCTGTCGGGGCTGGAGCAGGGGCACTGCAGCCAGAAGAAACCTGTGCTGCTCTGGAGTAACTCATGAGCCCAGAAATGGGGGTTTCTGCTGATTTGTGTGCAAGGGAAGCAGCTACTGTTCTTTCTGCCTTCCAAGAAAATGCTACAGAAGAAAAAATGGTTTACACCTAAATCAAGCAAACTTCTGTAAGGGTGTTTTCACAGAAGGATGACAAGATATGGAAATGTTGTTTTTGAGATTCCTGTACCTCCAAACACCACACCCTTGAGGCTGGAGCTCTGTCCCAACAGAGACCCCTTTTTCTTGGGGAACAAAGGAATGGAGGAGAGGGGGCAGGGCAGTTTTGACCACCAAGAATCTCTGGCAGCCGAGGCAGTAGCTGATGGGCAGCTAGGTTTTGCCCTGGGGCTAAACTGCAACTCTCTGTATCTCAGGACCATCATCGATGCAGAGAGGTGGAGTAGAATTTGTGTGTCCCTGCAGAGGATGCCATCTCCAGACTGGCCATCAGGGTGATGATGATGGGAGCAGGCATCGGTCCTTTCCTTCTCCAGCTGTTTTGAACATAAATTTAGGACAGGAGCTTGATGCTTAATGGTTCCTCTTGTTCTCAGCTGAGAAAGCATTTATCCACTCACTTCACAATTACCCAACTAAAAACAAGGTCAAAACAACATTCATCTGCAAAATGGCTTTTCAGATGACCATTAAAATGTGTATTTAAAAAAAAAAAATAAATAATGAATTAGAAGGGGAAAAAAAAAATTGGTTCTTTCCTCTAGACATTGTTTTGACTTTTTGTCTAAAGCCACCTGGCTGAGTCTACTTTGCAGTTACCTAAACACCATTTACCAACATGTAGGTTAGAGAGGCCCCACTCTTAAGGCTGTAGTGCTCTTGCAAATTGAGCCTGAAACCTTCAGAAGCTGAATTTAGTGCTTATGTATTTATATAAAACATTTCGACTTTAATCTTAGCCTCTTAGGATGAGGCAAATCCCTTTTCTCTGTTTATTCCCACATCCTTAAAATGTGAACGATGCCTTAGAGATGTTCACAGAATACAAGACAATGCAAGTATTGGTCCCAAAGTGTGTGCTAGGCACATCAGAGCATCAGGAAACGCTCTCAGTGAAGCAGTCAAAAATAGCACCAGCTTTTTGAAGTGCCTGTTGTGCTCCCTTTTAATCAAACACCAGTTTAGGAGACAATGCTGCTCCAACATGATTAATAAATCTGCTCACATGCCAGACTTTTCCCCATAACTGAATTTTAGGGCCATCAAAATCAGATTAGCCTCAGTGCCCTTCAAACATAGGCTGCAGCAGACGAGCTAATCAAGATCACACTTGCAGCATCTTTTAACACTGGGCTTTGCCAGCCCCACGACTGGGGGGACAAGAGGGCTTTTCCCGAAAAAAATCTGGTGTGTCTGGGTGGGTTTCTTCTGCCCTCTCAGAGTTTCAGAGTGCCCTGATGCTGCTCCACACGTCGCTTCCTCTTTTTTTTGTTTTTGTTTTGTAATTCTGTTTGATCTTCCTAGACAAACCTTTTTGATAGATCAGCCTTTGCATCCCTATGCAGCCCCTGGCTGTGGCTATGTGGCCACCTCTCCCTTCCTGATTATAGCTTCTGGAGGAGGAATCAGCTGGTCTAAGGTGGGTAAGGTTTTGCTGAGCTGTCTTTTGGATTCTGTTACCTGGGGAGGGGAAGGGGAGACAGGGAGAGGCACTTCATGTTACCAGGCAAAATTGTTTTTATTTCTCTGAGTCTGTGTTTTTCCCTTTTCCTGGGATGTTGATATTGGCCAGTGTGACTGTCCTGCATCTCTTTCTGCCTGTGGAGGATGGGAAGGGATGGTCCCAGGAATGGAGCCAGACACAAACTTCTGAAGGGGTGATTTACAGAGCTCTGCAAGAGCCTCTGTTTGTGCTTGAACCTCATGTTATCAGAGCAGCCCTGCTTTGCTCTCTTGAAATGCCTCCTGGAGGTCCAGCAGCTCCAAAAAAGTCCCAACTGAGATTTACGCTGACTCTTCATCATCTGTGTCGTGAGCTGGTGCAAAGACATAGAAGAGGGGGTACAGGTCCTTTGGCCTCTTGAAGGAGGTCTGGGGATGCTCTGGAAAGGTGCTGGGGTCCAGCTCACTGGGAACAAGTCAAGTGTGGCTGGTTGGTGGTTTCTCGTGTGACCCAGGTGAGAAAGATGGTGCAGCCAGTAGGGGAATCCTGCTGTCACGGATGTCAGTAATTCAGCTACAGCTGAGCCAGGATTTCATCCCACTTGTTCAGTTACTGATAAAACTGAGGACAGCTGCTTAGGAAACAAGTGGGAGCTCTTGAGAGGGAAGGTCTCCTCAGGTCTGCCTGGCTTCCCTGGCCAGTTGGATGCAGGGTCAGGTCTGAGGTGGCTTGTGAGTGGGTCCTCCATCCAGGAGTGCTTTTCCTGGCTCCTCAGCTGGGATTGAACACCTATGTGCAGTGTCTTGTTTCACCGTGCTGGCCCTTGTGAGTTTTACATTAAGTCCTCGCTCTCTTTCCTTGGTGATAAAGGGGCTAGCCTGTCTGTAGGATTTGCAGTATGGAAAGAGTTTTTTCTGAAGTCATTTAGATCATGGAGGATATCAGTCAGTGACTAATGACCCATCTGGATGCTTGGAGCTGTCACTTGTTAATTGCCTGGTTCTTGAGTAAATAGTGATCTCAGTTTGCTCCTTGTGACTCTGTTCTGAGGCAGCGCTGGTGTTTTGGGATTGTCCCCCTCTCTTGCACAATGATCTTTGATGACAACGTGCAGGGAAAGGCTCTGGGCAGACCAAACCTTCCCACTCTTCACACTGAAGCATCTCCAGGGTCTCCATGCCCAGTGGGGGATGATGTAGATCACAGCCTCTTCCAGCTGCTCCTGGAGGTATCTGGCCTGTGTCTGGAAGGAATGAGATCTGGGGCTGGGTGCTTGTTGCAGGTT